ATACTCCCACGTCCATTGCAGCAGTATGCATGTTAGCCAAGATATAGAAACAATCCAAATGTTCATCAACAGATGAATGGGTTTTTAAAATTTGATGTATATCCACATTGGAGTACTATTCAGCCTTTAAAAAAATAGGGAATTCTATCATTTGTGACAACAAGGATGAACCTAGCGGATATTATGTTAAGTGAAATAAGTCAGGCATGGAGAGACAAATACAGTATGACCCACTTATATGTGGAATCTAAAAAAGCCAGACTTCTAGAAGTAGAGAGTAAAATAGTGGTTACCAGAGCCTTAGGGACAGGGTGGGGGGGGTGAACCAGAAAGGAGAGAGAATTTGTCAATGGGTGCGAAGTTACAGCTAGATAGGAGGAGTAAGTCCTGGTGTTCTACTGCACGGCAAGGTGACTATAGCTAATAATAATGTATCGTATATTTCAAATGAGCTAAAAAGAGAGGGTTTTTAATGTTCTCACCACAAAGAAACAATAAATATTTGAGATGGTGGATATGCTAATTATTTTGATGTGATCATGCCACAATTTATACATGAATTGAAATATCACTTTGGGGCCAGGCACGGTGGCTCACGCCCGTAATCCCAGCACTTTGGGAGGCCGATCATGAGGCGGATCGTGAGGCCAGCCTGATCGACATGGTGAAACTCCATCTCTACTAAAAATGCAAAGATTAGCCTGGCGTGGTGGCACATGCCTGTAATCCCAGCTACTCAGGAGGCTGAGGCAGGAGAATAGCCTGAACCTGGGAGGCAGAGGTTGCAGTGAGCCAAGATCGGGCCACGGCACTCCAGCTTGGGTGACAGAGTGAACCTCCTGCTGAGGCATAAGAATCACTTGAACCCGGAAGATGGAGGCTGCAGTGAGCTGAGATGGTGCCACTGCACTCCAGCCTGGGTGACAAAGCGAGACTCAAAAAAAAAAAAAAAAAGAATATCACTTTGTGTTCCATAAATATGTACAATTATTATTTGTCAATTAACAATCAAATAAATTAAAACCAATGACCAAAAACCAAACCCTGGAATTTTGGAATCAGCCATTTCTCCAAGAAACCCTGGTTTCTTCTAATGGGAAATGACATTTCAAGACCACAATGGAGTGACTGTTTCTAAGTCTTTTCAGTGGAAAGAACTACATATAGTAGGTATAATGTCTTATGAGTTGTGAACTTCAAAAATCTGAGACAGTTCACAGTTAATTTGGAAAGTGTATTTTGCCAAGGCTGAGGACCCGCACCTGTGACACAGCCTCAGGAGTCCTGACAACATGGGCCCAAGGTGGTAGGGGCACAGCTTGCTTTTGGAATTTTTTTTTTTTTTTTTTTTTGAGACTCACTCTGTCATCCAGGCTGGAGTGCAGTGGTGCCATCTCAGCTTACTGAAACCTCCCCCTCCTGGGTTCAAATGATTCTCCTGTCTCAGCCTCCCAAGTAGCTGGGATTACAGGTGTGCACCACCATACCTGGCTAATTTTTGTACTTTTAGTAGAGACAGGGTTTTGCCATGTTGGCCAGGCTGATCTTGAACTCTTGACCTCAAGTGATGCTTCTGCCTCGGCCTCCCAAAGTACTGGGATTACAGGCTTGAGCCACTGTGCCTGGCCTGGTTTTGTACGTTGTAGGGAGACATGAGACATCAACGTGTGTAAGATGTACATTGGTTCAGTCTGGAAAGGTGGGATGGACAACTTGAGGCAAAAGCAGGACAACTGGAAGCAGGGAGGAGCCTTCCAGGTCATAGGTAGATAAGATTTAAATGGCTGCATTCTTTTGAGCTTCCGATTAGCCTCTCCGAATGAGGCAATCAGATATGCATTTATCTCAGGGAGCAGAGGGGTGACTTTGAATAGAAGGGGAGGCAGATTTGCCCTAAGCAGTTCCCAGCTTGAGTGATTTTTGGGGCCCAGAGATTTATTTCCTTTCTGGAGTTTATGCTAGCATTTCCATTTTAAATTATAACTACAAGGTTTTTAGTTAACTTCTGTATTATATCTGTATCTCCTTTCCTCCACGCCAAGAACCCTAGTTCTCAAGGTAACAGGGGATGATAGAATTTGAAAATTTCATGACTTTCATTTACTTTTTCCCACATAAAACCAGCAGTCATAGAATAATAGTAGCAGTTATTTTAGAATAACAACATGTTACTACTGACAATTAATATTCATAATATAATCACCGCTAACTACTGAAAATGGTAAACAATTTTGCATGTTATCCCCATTCTTACCCCAGTTTTAAATTGTTGTATCATAGCTACCCTGTCAGATCATATAACCTTTATATTCTATCATCTGCCTCCCTTTTAAATTTTATTTTGTCTTAGTTCTACAGGCAACTTCCTTCTTTCATCTACTATTCTCTTAAGGCATTTTGTGTATGTATGTGAGTGTGTTTCCCTTTTTTCTTCTAGTTTATTTATGTATTTATTTATCTATTTTTTGAGACAGACTCTCACTCTGTAGCCCAGGCTGGAGTGCAGTGGCGTGATCTTGGCTCACGGCAAGCTCCACCTCCCGGGTTCAGGCCATTCTCCTGCCTCAGCCTCCCGAGTAGCTGGGACTACAGATGCCCGCCACCATGCCCAGCTAATTTTTTTGTATTTTTAGTAGAGATGGGGTTTCACCATGTTAGCCAGGATGGTCTCAATCTCCTGATCTTGTGATCCACCCGCCTCGGCCTCCCAAAGTGCTGGGATTACAGGCGTGATCCACTGCGCCCGGCCTTTTGTTCTAGTTTAGTGTTAATTATTACTATAATTTTTTTTTTT